ACAGCAGAAAAGCATCATGGATCTCGTGATGGAGGTGAAAGCTCTTGAGCAATATACGAGGATGAACGGGCTCCATCACCGGGCTCCATGTTAAACCTGGATCATATGCTCGCGCAGTGTCCTTGGAAAACAAGGGGGAACCCACCGACCTGGACGTCTGCACCGCGGAGCAACAAGTGGCTGCCTTCTTGCAGGATAAGGGGATCGTGTTAAACTGCAACAACATCGAGGCATGCCACCCTCTGCCCAAAAGGAAACCCAGCGACATACCTGCCATCATAATGAGGTTTGTAAGCAGGAAACATAAGATCGCACTCCTGAAGCAAGGCAGAAATCTCAGAGGAACGAACGTGTTTATCAACGAACATCTCACAAAACACAACACAGACATAGCCAGGAAAGCACGATACCTGAAGAAATAGGGGAAATTCCAAAGTACATGGACAAACAACTGTAAAGTATTCATTAAGCTGAATGGTTCACTCGAGCAGGCCAAAGTACTTGTCATCAGAAACATGGAGGAGCTGGATAAACTTCAATAGGCCCTATCGTCATCAGCATGAACCGAGCTAAGGTACCATCCACACACAACCATGACAGACAGAACTCACTCATCTCCATCTGGAAACAATATTAAACATTTAACTGAGAGGATAAATGATCATGATCATCTGGAACTGAGAACTTTTGAATTCACCGAACACAATTCTCAGGATGTGGAACAGAATATAGACCCAGATAATAATTTTTTCTGTAACATTGACAACAATTGCCTTTACTACGGTCAGGAACAATACAACCGTAATGTTAAATCAAAAGACAGACTATCAATTATCCATTTCAACAGCAGAAGCCTCTATGCCAACTTCAATAACATTAAGGAATATTTACAGACATTTTCACAGACATTTAGCATAACTGCAATATCGGAAACCTGGATCAATAGAGAGAGGCATGGACTTTGAACTGGAGGGTTATGAATTGAGGAATATAAATTGGAAAAACAAAGGTGGGGGAGGAGTTGCCATATATGTGGATAAAAACTTGAACTTCAAAGTGGTAGAATGTATGACAGCTGTGGTTGACAACCTACTAGAATGTATAACCATTGAAATATGTAGTGAAAAGAATAAGAATATTACTCTTAGCTGTATATACAGGGCACCAGGTACAAACATTGATACTTTTAGAGAATGGATGGAATGTATGTTTTCCAATAAAAGTAATAGTAGTAGTTTACATATGTGGCGATTTCAACATCGACATATTAAATCCAAATAAACATAAAGCAACAGAGGAATTTATCAATGCAATGTACAGTTTAAGTCTTTTTCCAAAAATCACCAGACCCACCAGAATTACACTAAACTGTGCCACTTTAATTGATAATATCTACACCAATGATATTGAAGACAAAACAATAAGTGGTATACTAATTAATGACATCAGTGATCATTTATCAGTTTTCATTATTTATGATTATAATTACAGGAGCAAAAAAACAGATAAGCAAATAGAATATAGGAGACTGAGGTCAGAAGAAACAATGAACACATTCAAGAACGAATTACTAGCACAGAATTGGGAGGTAGTATATCAAGAAAATAATGTGGATAATGCATATGAAAGATTTTTGAGTGTATTTAAGCAATTATATGATAAAAACTGCCCAATTAAAGAATATAAAAGAAAATTGAAATATAGCAACTGTCCATGGATCACAAAGGGACTGCAAAATGCCTGCAAAAAAAAAAAAAAAAATACACTATACAGAGAATTTATAAGATTGAGAACTAAAGAGGCTGAAATTAAATATAAAATATATAAAAATAAGCTAACTCATATTATAAGGAGAAGCAAGAAAGATTATTATTGTAGAATATTAAATGATAACAAAAATAATATCAAAGGAATATGGGGAATATTAAACAATATTATAAGAAATAGTTCTAAAAAAATAGACTATCCGGAGTATTTTATTGACAAGGATAATGTTACTTATAATAGGAGTGATGTGGCTGATAAGTTTAATACATTTTTTGTAAATGTAGGGCCTAACCTTGCAGAAAAAATCTCTGATTCAGGGGCAGTTGAAAAAAATATGGATATTTTGATAGAGAGAAATCCCAACTCAATGTTTCTCAAAGCGGTGGATGAGCAAGAAATAATGGACATAGTTAAAAACTGTAAAAGCAAAAAGTCAACTGATCATAATGACATCGATATGACAGTAGTGAAAAAGGTCATTGAGGGGATTTCAAAACCGTTAACATACATCTGTAATTTATCATTTCATAATGGTACATTTCCAAATAAAATGAAAATTGCCAAAGTCATTCTGCTGTACAAAACTGGGAACAAACATCACTTCACCAATTACAGACCTATCTCCATATTACCACAATTTTCCAAAATATTAGAAAAACTCTTCAACAACAGACTGGATACATTCATAGTAAAGCATAACTTACTCTCCGACAGTCAATATGGTTTCAGATCAAATAGGTCAACATCACTAGCAATAATAGAAGCAATTGAGGAAATCACAAATGCTATTGAACAAAAGAAATATGCTGTTGGATTATTTATTGATATTAAGAAAGCCTTTGACACAATAAATCATGATATATTAATAAAAAAACTGGAAAGACTCGGCATCAGAGGTATTGTATCAGATTGGATTAAAAGTTATCTACAGAGGAGAAAACAGTTTGTAAAGCTCGGTGATGTTTGTTCACAATGTTTGGACATTGTTTGTGGTGTCCCCCAGGGGTCAGTGTTGGGCCCTAAACTCTTTATTATGTATATTAATGATATTTGTAGAGTGTCACAGGTATTGAAGTTGGTGTTGTTCGCTGATGACACAAATATTTTCTGTTCTGGGGAGGATTTAAAAAAGCTACTGGAGGAAATCACTAAAGAAATGAGTAAACTGAAAGTATGGTTTGACAGAAATAAATTATCATTAAACTTAAATAAAACAAAAATGATGTTATTTGGAAATTACAGAATTAATATGCAGGTACAAATACAGGTAGATGGGGTGCAGATAGAAAGGGTTAATGAAATTAAATTCCTTGGGGTTATAATAGATGAGAAAATCAGTTGGAAACCACACATCAAACATATACAGACCAAGTTATCAAGAAGCATTTCACTTTTAAACAAAGCAAAACAGGTTCTGGATCATAAATCACTCCGTATCCTATACTGTTCCATTGTCTTACCATACTTCAATTACTGTGTATAGATTTGGGGCAATAACTATATGAGTTCAATCAATTCACTGATTATTCTTCAAAAAAGGGCAATACGGGTCATTCATAATGTCGGTTATCTGGATCATACTCACTCACTCTTCTTGCAGTCAAAATTATTTAAACTTACAGACATAGTGAAATTCCAAACAGCACAAATTATGTATAAAGCAAAAAATATCCTTCTACCACAAAATATACAAAAATTGTTTGGGGGTCGAGAGGGGGGTTATCAATTAAGAGGGAAGTATAACTTTAAAATTAATAAAATCCACACAAACAGAAAACGATTTTGCATTTCATTCTGTGGGGTGAGACTGTGGAATGGTATGGGTGAGGAGTTAAAACAATGTCCAAACATAAAACAGTTTAAAATAAAATATAAAGAATATGTTTTCATGGGATACAGGGATGAAATGGGAGTGTGACAGTCACTACAGGTGTCCATAGGATGCTCTTACTCGTCATTTATTTTTCTATTTATTTATTTACGTACATCATTAACTGCTCCTTTCTGACAGTTATGGTTGTTAATGTTTTGTTATTGTTAGTCCTTTCCTTCTTCTTTCTCTTCACATTGTCCTTTCACATTGATGCAGGTGTATGTATACAGAGGGTGAACATTGTACAATCATGGTTATTATTATCATTATCATTATTATTTTGTTGTTGTTTTGTTGTTTTCATTATGGTGATTATTTTTATTGCTATTATTATTATGATGATTAATATTATTATCAGTGGTAGCAATATTGGGGAAGTAGGATAGATATGATATATATGTAAATCATTAGTGTAGGAGAAGGGGTGGGACTAGATAAGTTTCGACTTCTTCCCACTCCTTTTTGAACATGGATAACTTGTTATCATTTGTTGTTGTATTCTTTACCTTTTTTCTTTTTTCTTTTTATTCTTAATATGTTCAAAATAAACTTCAATCAATCAATCAAAAAACTGGGAAACGGGGCCCAGACCATTACATAGTGTAGTGATTACAGCAGATGTAAAATTCAATGAAGCACAGGGTCAATAGTTACAATTATATATTAGACAATGTTTTATGCATTTAAAAAAACAGCCACCTTTTGTTTTTACATAATAGTATATCAGAGTAGCCCATTAGTTCAATCTTGCCACTTCTGTGCACCTTTAGATCCAAAGGTTGTGAGTTCTGCTAAGGGCATGGTAACCAAATTCAACGAAGCTGTACACATAGGGATACAGAAAGAGTCTGTAGTGTTTGATACAATTTCACCTGTAGCTGGAACTAAAAGATTTAAAAAATGAATGTTGTAGCAGCAGCAGCAGCAGCAGCAGCAGCAGCAGCAGCAGCTGTAGCTGCAGCTGGCAGCAGGAGCAGCAGCAGCTAACAGCTTCCAGCTCACACACATACTAGTCTCCACTTTTCAAGTCTGTTTTCTTCCAACTACTGTAACTATATTGATTGGGCTGATCGCTACTTTTACTACACATCCAGCGTGACAAGAAAGCCTTGTTCATATGTTCTTTAACCCATTCAAGACTTTATACAGTGGGGTGAGCATTCAGATTTGTAAGCTTTAAATGTCTCTTTGTCCTGTTAATGTTTTTAATGTTTTGCTGTTTTAATGTTTCTTTTTTATTTTGATTTGGGTGTTAAAAATACTACCTGACTCTCTTTATGAACCTCTGTGAAACACTTTGTAACATAATAAAGTTTATCATTAAAATAAATACTATGTACATACGTGTGTGAGCTCATACCTCAGAGTGTGTGACAGGTACAGAGCTGATGCCAGCATTGATGGCAGTCCAGGAGCGAGCAGTGAGCACGCAGGCGAACAATGGGTACAGATCTCCAGCACCCAGTCTGAGGCTGTAACGCTTTACCGCGGACATGTCACCATTAATCAGAGCCTGCCACAGCTGACAGTAGTCCAACCGAAATTCTGGCTGCAGGACCTGAAGCAGAGGGGATTATAAATGTCTTTTATTAGAATTTCATCTACATTAATAATTTATGGTATACTGTAAATGGTACATTTGTTTGCAAACTGCTGTATTGTTATACGTTATGTTAACATTCAGTGTTTTTCACAAAAACACATTCAATCAATCAATCAATCTTTATTTATAAAGCACTTTTCATACAATAAAATGTAGCACAAAGTGCTTTACATGTTAAAAGCAGAGCCCCCCCATCCCCAACAGACCCCCTCACCTCCCTCACCCCCCATCCCGATGTGATTTAAAAGAAAAGAAGAAAAATAGAAAGAATAAATAAATAAATAAATCAATAATAAGAGAGAAAAAAAAAAAAGCTGAGCACGGAAGAACCAGAGAGGAAACCCCTCGGCAACTCGACCGCCAACAGGAGCCCTCATCCTGGCCCAGGCAGGGGAAGAGCTCAGTGTCACCGCCAAAAGGCAATGGTCTGGACCCTCCACCCCACCAGCGGAGAGCAGACCCCAAGCCAGCGCCACAGCAGCCTGAACCAGTGACTTTTGGCTGACTTTTGAACAGCAAAAGGAACTGCTCTTGCTACATATGGAACATGATAAAATTAAGTTTGAGATGGAAGCTAAAAAACAACTTCAGCTGGAGGTGATCCGCCAGCAAACAGAAAAAGTGAAGCTGGAGCTGGGTTATCGTCAGTCTCTGGGTAAGGGTGATAATGGGGCTGAGGGACAGGTGCGTCTCTTTGATATAAATAATCTGCAGCTGGTACCACCTTTTAAAGAGAAGGATGCTGACTCATTTTTTGTGTTGTTTGAGCATGTTTCTGTTACGAGGGGTTGGTCTGATGCGGACTGTGCTTTGCTGATTCAGTGTGTCCTCACGGGCAAACGCAGGGGGCGTATTCACCGTTGAGTGCGGCTGACAGCGCTAGTTATGCCAAAATAAAATCTGCAGTGCATAAGGCTAATGAGCTCGTACCTGAGGCATATCGCCAGTGTTTCCGATCTTGGGAAAAGAGAAGTGGCCAAAAATATGTTGAATTTGGCCGTGATCAAACTGCACATTTTAAACGTTGATTGGCTGCACTTGAGGTTACCACTTTTGATGATTTGTGTGAGTTGATTATTTTGGAGCAGTTTAAAAACATGTTGCCTGGTTGAATTGTTAACGAACAGAAGGTTACTTCTGCGGCTGATGCGGCTGTGTCAGCAGATGAGTATGTGCTGCTCCATATGGGCGGTTTCAGAGATCGCACAACCAGCTGCGATGATGTTGGCTGGAGTGGGAGCAGTCGCGGTGCTGCCGCAGCTGACCAGAGGTGTTCTGGGAAGCCTGGTTCATTTCAATTTGTGCCTAACTCACGAAGCAGTTTTGACAGCAATGAAAATTGTCATTACTGTCATGAGAAAGGCCATTGGAAGGCCGACTGTCTGGTGTTACGGTCTAAACATAGAGGAGGAAACTCTAATGTTAAGCCTGCAGCAGCTGTTGCACCTGTGGTTACTGGCGGTGTTTCTGAGCTGGTTTCTGATGTGATGATCCGGATGTTTTGGAGGCATATGCTCTGTTCATTAGGAGTGGGTTTGTGTCACTGGTGGGTAGCGATGTTAAAGTCCCGGTTACCATCTTGAGAGACACAGGGGCCTTTGACTCCTTTATGGTCGAGTCAGTGCTGCCTTTGTCCACCGAGACTGACAGCAATTACTTTGTCCTCAGTCGCGGGATCGTGATGACTGTTTTACCCGTTTCTTTGCATAAAGTGGTGCTTGATTGTGAGCTGATGCAGGGTGAGGTAGCTGTGGGGGTGCAGCCGGCGTTGCCTATTGAGGGGGTTCATTTTATTTTGGGCAACAGTCTGGCTGGTAAGAGAGTTTGGGCTGACATCCCACCCTCACCTGTTGTTACCCCCTGTCCGGTTGATGATGTTTCTGATGTGAGCTCCAGTCAGGTGCCTGATGCGCTGCCAGCCTGTGTGGTTACGTGTACAATAAGTAAGGCTGAGCTGGAGTTATCTGACGGAAAGCTTGGTGACGCTGATTTCGAGGCTCCGTCTTTGTTTGATTTTCCACTCTCTGCGCACTGTCAGTGTTCTGCAGGCTGCAGAGATAAACAGTGCAGCCGGTGGCTACTTTTTGCAGGACGGACTGTTATTTCAGAAATGGGCTGCTGTGGGTGGTGACTGTGTGGGGGATGCTGTTGTTCAGTTGGTTGTGCCAGCTAAATTTCATCCCCTTGTCCTGAAAGTTAAAAGGTAACTGGGTGGAGGATGAACCGCTGAAAGACTTGATTGAAAATGATTGATTTTGTCAACGGATTTCGGCATCGCTTGTTTGTAGCTGGTCGTATGACACGCGATAAGTTGCAGTTGTCTCAGAGTAAGATGAAGTCCGGCTCTGTTTGCCAGTTCAGTGGCTGTTACGCATGAGGATGGGGTGCCTGGGCCTGATGGAAGTGTGCTGTGTGGTCGCATGAGGGATTGGGAGTCTTTGCGTAGCTTGGACAGGCTGCTTGCTCGTTTGCCTGACTCCAAGCGTGCTGAGCTGTTTCACTTGATCCAAAAGTTTCCCTGTATGGTTGGGATGGATATAAACAGTGCTGGCTGACACCGCGCTCCCTCTCTCTCTCTCTCTCGAATCTTCGCCAGCGCCCGTACTTTTGTTTGGCCTCTCTATTTCTTTTAGGTTATCTCCACAACACCACACCTCGCATGCTCCACACATCCACATGTACACTACTGATCACACTGACTAACACACCCCATACCTGCATTATGTTTATTTACGTTGCTTTACTTAAATAAACCAAGCCTGAAAAGCCTCCTTCCTTAGCCCTACAGCCTTAGCAGCAGCCTCCACATAGAGGTTTTTAACATGGCCCACTCAGATTCCATGTCCCTAACCCCCGTGAGATGCACGGAAAATTCTTCCTGAGGTGGGAGTCTACAGGGCGGACCCACCACCATTTTTCAAAAACATTTTACGTCTTGGTGTGTTAACATTAAGTAAGTAAGTAAACTTTTATTTATATAGCACCCTTCATAGTACGCTTACACAGAGTGCTTAACAGTACAAACAACAAAACCACAGTTCAATCAGTCACGATAAACGTGCAACTGAAACATTCAAGAAAACATACACAAGGCATATGGCAATGCAAGGTCAGTGCATGTAGAAGCATGTAATAAAATACATAAATAAATAAGAAATAAAAATAAAACATGATCACATGACACTGCAAAGCCAGAGGAAATAAGGTAGACAAGCTGAGAGAACAACAGAAAGCAGCAGACAAAACAGTGGATACGGCCTAACACTCAAAAGCTAGTCTGTACAGGTGAGTCTTTAACTGTCCCAGCTGCCCCAAAGGACCGGTCCCCCTTTGTCTTTTGTCCGAGGCACTGACAGGAGGCCCTGGTCAGATGATCTCAAGGACCGGCTGGGGGTGTGGTGGTGAATGAGGTCGCAGATGTAAGTGGGGGCTTGGCCGTGAATGGCTTTGAAAGTGAGCAGCAGCACCTTGTATTGGATTCTGAACGGGACGGGTAGCCAGTGCAGGGAGGTGAGTATGGGTGTAATATGGCAAGACATTTTTGACCTAGTAAGTAATCTGACAGCTGCATTCTGTACAAGCTGAAGGCGGTCGATGGATGACTGATTGAGACGTGAACAATGAATTGCAGTAGTCGAGCCTGGATGCTATAAAGGCATGGATTGACATTTCTAGTTCTGAGTGAGACACAATGGAGCGGAGTTTAGCAATGTTTCTCAGATGGTAAAAACAATTGCGACACAGAGACTTCACATGTTCACATGTGCATTGACTGGTCGAATTGAACACCAAGATTCCTGATATTAGCGTGGATGTTGTTTTTGAGGGGCCCCAGATGTTCTTGTACCCTGGCTGTGACACTGTCAGAGGCAATGACTAGGACCTCGGTCTTCGCAGCATATAATTGCAGGAGGTTGTTGGCCATCTAGCTCTCAATGGCCGCCAGGCACTCAAGGAGAGTGCTGAGACTCTGCATGTTTTCTGGTTTGAATGAGAAATGGAGCTGAATGTCATCTGCATAACAGTGATAGGAGATGCCTGGGAACTTACTGATGATGTGACTGAGGGGGAGCATGTACAGGGCGAACAGAAGAGGGGCCAAAACGGAGCCTTGAGGAACACCACAGTGAAGGGGGGTGGAGTCAGACTTGTAAGGGCTGACGGCCACAGAAAAACACCTATCGCTGAGGTAGGAGGCTAACCAAGCTAGGGCAGTACCGGTCACGCCCACCCAGTCCTTAAGCCTGCCTAGAAGTATGCAGTGATCTACAGTGTCGAACACTGCACTTAAATCTAGTAGGACTAGTACAGAGCATTTGCCTGAGTCCGAAGACATCATAATGTCATTAGCTACTCTTAGGAGGGCAGTTTTGGTGGAGTGGTTTTTACGGAAACCGGACTGGAATTTGTCTCCAATGTGGTTTGCTGTCAGATAGGTGGAGAGTTGATTGGCCACCACTTTCTCTAACAGCTAGGAGACAAATGGGAGCTTGGAGATGGGTCTGTAGTTTTGTGGTGAGGAGGGGTCCAGGTTGGGCATTTTAAGGAGTTGCTGCTTAAAATAAAATGGAACGACGCCGCTGACCGGGGTTTTGTTTATGACGGTGACTAAGCTGGTGGCAACAGAACTGATGATTTCTTTGAGCATGGAGGTTGGGATGACATCCAAGGGGCTTGAGGAGGACTTCATGGAGCTAACTACATCAAGCAGATCTACCAAGGAGACAGGTGAAAAACTGCTCAGGGATGGCAGGGTTGCTGGGAGGGGGCAGGGGACAGGGGGTGCAGCTGATGGGGAGATGCTCGCCTTGTTCACAAAAAACAAAAGAAAGGTGGTGTTACAATCATTGTTGGAAAACACATGAACAGATGGAAGAGGGGGCTGACAATTGTGTTAATGGTGTTAAATAACACTCTGGGATTATGCTTGCTGGAGGTGATGAGATTGGCGAAGT